TGAATTAGATAATTGGAATAAATTAGCTGTGGCAATGATTATTAAGTTTCATCCTTTATAATCATCATATTTGGGTTCAATTTAATTTTATTGGGAAAAATTTTGAAGAGGTCAGAAATATATTGGTAAATATATCTACATTTAAATAGAACTGTTTTCTTCATATCTGACAGGTGTATCATAACTAGATGATATGGAGTTGTGTGTTTGTGTTTTGGTCAAGAGGGAATTGGTGTTTAAATAATTTTTAGATTAATAATGATTGAACTACTGGGTAAAGGAGTGATAACAATTAACCCCCTTAGTAATAATTATTTATACTTGGTGATGTGTATTAAGTCTTGGGAAAGAGAACTAGAAATCTTTTCTAGCTTTAAGTGTAGAAACTCCGGTGGTAGCTTATTGTGTCACATAATGATTCTTTACTGCCAGTGGATGTTTTTTCTCTTGTTACAATTCCTGGACAACCCAAAGCAACTTTTTTTTTTTTTCATACTTAGTAGAGGAATAAGAAAACTTTACTCAAATATAACCTTATTTTCACGTGGGAACAGGGAAGGGCACTCTTATCAAATATATACTTCATACTCTGTAAGACTTAAACCTTCCCCATATGACAAAGGATTTAACCCTTTTTTACTCTCTTTCACAACTAAACTTCAGTAAAGAATGGTGTGTGCACTGCGTTCTTGTCCTTCCATTTCATACATTCTTGTATCCTCATTAATCTGTCTTTATGAAACACCCCTCCTCATATAAGTGCTTTTTGGTTTTATATAAACTATTATGTGCAAGAAAAAATTGTTTTCTACTTTCTGTTCTCAAATGTTCTCCTTTGTTCCCACAATACCACATTTTCTTTATTTCCTTCTTCATTCTGGCTTCTCTTCCTTTCTTGTTTCCGACTACTTCTGCCTTGCCATTCTTTCAATATTAGTGTTCTTTGGGTTCTGACATAGATCCCCTTTTCTCCTCATGCATATCCAGGGTTGTCTTTTACATTCCTGTGAATTTTATGTCCACTTATTTGCTGAAGGCTTTTTACAAGTGACACCTCGAGCTCACATTCAATCTTTTTTATTTCCAGACCCTAATACCCAATTCCATACTAGACTTCTACTAACATACCCTCTAATTTATCATCTTTTCCACTCTCTATCTGGATGTCACACCTGGAGACTGGACAACCTCCTCAGATCCTTTCTGCCCCGCTGAGGCCCCAACGTAACTCATCTTCAAGTTCTGTGCCTTGTGCCTCTTGAGTCTATTTGCTTTTCTCATCTCCACTGACTTTTCCCTAGTGTCATCTTTCAGTTCTCAACTGTGCAGCAACTACCTACAAGAAGATCTTTCTTCTCTCCAGTTGAACCAAGTGCTCCTACTATGTGCACCCATAGTACACACTACTTAATTCCCTGTAATCATTGCATTCTGCCTTCTAATGGCACCTGTACTTAACCATTAGAAATTTATGTGTCAAAAGTGGGAGACTATGCAAATTTAGTCTTTTCCTCTACGAGGGAACTGATTCTGTTTTTATCTTTCTTCACTCACTGTATGAATCCACATTCACACACAACATACACTATTCCAACTACCTGACAATTCCTATAGTCAGAACATTCTGTGAACTCTGTGACTCTTAACAGATACAGAATCAAATTAATGTCACTAAATGACAAAGGGACTGAGAGGTATTTGAATTTTGAAAATCTAAGAAACATCTTAGCCTAAGGCCTTTGGTAGAAAAGAGGGGAAAAAGGAAAGTCTAAAATTTAAGGCCTTTTTCAAGTATTCTTTGTATGATTTGCATTTCTGAAGGGCAGTAATTCACAGTTTAGGTTACAGGTAAGTTGTTTCTTAAATAAATAAGTAAATAAATAAATGTATTTTTTGTAGCTTAAAAAAGGATGACCCTGAGGATATGTCTTAAAATCATAGTGGTTATATCCATAATCTGACATGAAATTTGATACCTCATGTAACCTATATGACTATATGAACTTGAGAAGAAATGCTAATGAAATCTAATAACTCTTTATTCTCCTAACAATATATGTTATTTCATAATTCTTTAGCTTTTTTGGTAGAAGACAGTCTCATAGATAACCTGTACAATATTTAAAAGGACTCATTAAATAAAATGCAGCATTTTGAGAATGATGATTTCCTAATGAAACCACTGTTTCTTGCAATGAGAGAGTTCAAACATTTTATATTTTACCTGAGTTTCCAGATAAGGCATTAATATACATACATACAGTATACAGAGAAAGTGTGATTTTTACCATGCAAAAAGGTGGTTGGCATATAAAAATGCTTCATTTTAGTACTTTATGATTATAATTAAGATTTATATTTTTGGAGTCTCTTTTTAGTTTTTGAAAAAGTTTAGGTGACTCTAAATATGAACACACAGATTATATTTTGTGTCTGTGGAATATTTGTGAAATATGTAACCAACATCTGTGAAGTGGAGAATAATTCCCATATACAAAAAGCAGACTTTGTAACACATATTTAGTTTATGATCTTACATTAAGAACTGTCAACTCATTCTTTTAATTCCATATCCCACAGGTGTTCATTACACACCTACTATTAAATGTTAAAATCACTTCATTAGAGAGTTGAATAGATTTGGAAGCAACCTTTTTTATTTTTTTAAGCCTGAGTATAATCTGGCTTTCCTGTGCGTATAAATGTAACTCATATTTATTTATGATTGTTTATTCTAAAAATATTCAGACCTGTTTAGCAGGGCTTTCTGTGTGAGGTTGTGAAGAGCTTGCTCTGGGATGCTTATTTTCTCAGCCTCTCTAATTGAGGGCACCTTCACACTTTCAGGCCACTTTACAGCTCTGAGAAGAACCTAATGAAAGTCTTTTCATTTGTCATAACTATGATGAAATAAAAAGAAGAATTGAGTACACTGCAAAGTGCCAAAATCAAGAAAGATTGGAAATATAGAGACTCAGTAATCCCAGTGTTCTTAGATATACCCGCTTTAGGTCTTTCTATTCCATCCACATTAAAAACTCTTAATATTTGAACTACATTCTTTATGATAAGGTAATCAATATTCATGTGAAAAGTATGCATTTGATTAACTTAAAAGTATAAGAATGCTTGTAGTTTAATGTCATGCAGTTATAGCACAAAGACTAATCTTGAAATTGAAAACTTCATTGAAATATATCAGTCAGCTTTCTGTAAGCAATTAAAAAAAGTTCGATCCTGGATAATTGCTTCTTTTTCATCATATGAGTTAAATGGGCATCACTGAGAATAAGCTCTCACAAGACAAGGTGCATACTGCTTTATATCTTAAACTTTCATATGGGATATCTTCCTTCCCTGTGAACTGGGAAGAATGGGTGGTATCCTTTTTATCTTATGAGTGATGATTCCCAGACAAGCTAAGTGATTAGCCATGTCAATTAAACAAATAGCAGAGAGCTTGGAAATTGTATTCCTGTGTATCATAGCACTAATATAATTAAACTTTATTTAACAAGCTGAAATGTAGTATAGGAAGTTTTATATAGAAATATATGTAAAACGTTGTCATACATCATGGAATCTATCCCAGATTCTATTCCTTTGTAACCTGTAGCATTGCCATTTAACTTCTCTAAAACTAAATTCATCATCTATAAAATGCAACTAATAATATCTGCCCTATCTCAGTGACAGATAAATTGTATGTGTCAGTACCTGGGAGGATTAAATTACTTTTATCTAATCATTCACTTATGCATTCATTCATGCAACAGATATTTATTAAGTGCATACAATGTGCAGACATTAGTGTGGATGTTGGAGATGAATTAATGGACTTATACTGCATGAAAAAGAAATTTATAAATCATAAGACACTAGTATAAACATAAATAACACCATCATTAATAATATCAGACAATTATAAACATGTTGCATTGGTGGGACTGGAGGCTGAAGATAGCTGCAGTAGTCCAGGCATGAAATGAGAAGAGCTTATGCTGGAAAGATGCTGCTAGGAATCGTTAAGACTTTGTAGTTATGAGTACCACATTTTAAGTAAAAGAGATAAGGTTTCTATTTCTCAGTTAGAAAAGAATAGAGAAAAAGAATTGAGAAAAGCTAGCTATAATTTAAAACCTGAGACAATGGTAATAAGATTATTAAGGGACATGCAAATTTGGAGGAAGCAGTAAAAATTTCAGTTTTGATCAGATTGATTTTGAGGTCGTAGAAACATACGAGATAAAAGAAGATTCAGAACTGGATTTTAGATGAAATATTAGCGCGCAGACTTGGAGTTAGTAGTACTTAGGTATGAGGAAGAATTAGGTATCTGATTAAATAGTGAAAAGACCAAAGACTGAACTTAAGAGAATGTCTATGTTAGCATGTGGAATGGGCAAAACAAGAAAGAAGAAAGCCATAGTATCCCAGAAACCTATGAAGGAAAGAATAGAATATTTGTGAATATTAAAATTAGAGAAGTCAAGGAGAGTAAGTACTGATGAAAAATATTTCTTAATTTAATAATAAACAGATAATTTGTGACATTTGATAGAGTAGTTTCAATAAACTTGTGGCAATTACAGAGTACAGTAGGTTGTGGAAGAAGTGGTAGAGAAGATAGACAAAGTAGAAGTTTGACATCAAAAAGGTGTCAGGTAGCTACAGGAAAAAGAGATTCAAATGAGAGATGAGTAAAATAAATGATGAGTGTGGAGAAGAGCTTGAAACCAATGGAGAATATCAAAGTTGCCAATGGAGAAAATTCTGTTAAGATATAGTTAGATGGATCAGATTCTAAAGTTAAGCTACAGTGGATGAGCCTTAAGAGTCTGAAGGAAAGAATGAGGGGTTCTATCATAACAAATAGGGAGTTGAAGATTTGGGGAGCAACGAAGAACATCCAGACAAATGGAATCCAACATTCAACTTAATAACTGACAAAAGTTGGATTGAAGAAATTCTTCACCCAAGAATTATGTAGACTTACATACCCATATCAGGCACAGGTAAACTACTTTGGTCTTTACTCTTTCAACCATCTTGGATCTGCTCTCATGAGTTTCTCAAAGTTAGATCAGAATGTGTGTTTCCATGGGCAGATTTGTCCAAACAATTAAAACAATGAATTTGAAGGTGGAGGAGAGGCAAGGTGAAACAGACCTACTCACTTCTTTCTTTGAAGTCACCAATGAGATAAGTCACTATTCATTCTTTGGGGGTAGGGACAAGTCACTATTCCTTCTTTAGGAGTAGGGAGAAATCAAAGTAAAGAGGCCACAGTTTCCTTCAAAATTTCTTTCAAAATTCCCTTTATGAAACTAGGAATAAGGAGATTACCACTTGTATTAATAGCAATATCTAAGAAGGACCTACTTTGTACCCAGAATGCATCTGCACTTGGCAGTCTGTGTAAAATACAGCACATCATATAATTCCTTCATGTGACAAATTTCATAATGTATTTTGAATTTAGTTTTCTAATTGTATGAACTGTTGATACTAATAGCATAGAGTAGAACAATTTCTATAAAAGCTGAGGAGTGATGGTTTAGTTTGAACAGATTATAATGTGAACAAAGGTTTTTGATTTGTAGGGGCTCTACCTCATTTCTTTTGGAGAGCAACAGGTATAAATCCTCTTACATTTGTGTACCTTAATAATCCTAGTAACATAATATTATCTATAGAGATTTGTAAAAAATATTTTATTATTATTATTATTTATTTTAGCGTATTATGGGGGTACAACTGTTAAGGTTACTTATGTTGACCATGCCCCACTCCCCCCTCGAGTAAGAGCTTCAAGCATGTCCATCCCCCAAATGTCGCAGATCTGTAAAAATATTTTAATGCTTCTTATTTATTAATTTAATTAATCATATTAATTCCTTATGTCTATTATTAATGCCATACCTCCCCAACTTCAAAATTTTTATCATTAACTTTTATGGGTCTTATAATTTTAGCACCAGAATATTTTGATTGTAGTGATTTAGCCAAATCTACTTCAGCAATAAGATATTCAACAACATTAAGTTAAACATGAAAATGTATATATTACACATATGTGTGTATGTAGATAGATAGATTAGAATAGAAATGCAATGTACTGATAATACGAGAGACTGGTTGTCTTGGGCATGGAAGCAGCTGACAGGGTAGAAAAGGCAATTAGATAGATGCCATGGTGCTAGTATATTCTAGACCTTTATATAGGTAATGTGTTTATTTATGTGAGGGGGAAACCTGTAGTGATACACACTATGAGAAAGATGATGCAGAATAATGGAAGGGATGACATGATTTAGAAAATAACAAAGACCCTGTTATAAAGTAGTAATTATCCCATAAATATGATCTCCATATTTTCTTAAGCAGTTTGAAATGTATAAAGTTCTCTACCCAGTATAAAGGCTTGCCAAAGAAAATTCTTCCAAATTTATAGGCAAAATGAGAAACCGACTTGGGAAATTCTCATTTAGGAGAGTTTATGTCAGTAACATGAAAACACATCAATAAATACAGAAATAACCATTTAATCAAGTAATTTGCCTGTCATTATGGCTTCTGAGTATTGTCAAGCTGTTTTACAACTAATATAATTTCTGATGGAATAAAAACTATACCTTGGGCATTTTTCACTTCACTTACGTAAAATATTTTATTATAGTGAACTAATTTGCAAAAAGATGTTATAATAAAAGGAGAGATACTGGCAGTAACTGCTTAGATAAATGACCAGTATAAATTTTCTTCTCACTATCTGAATAGGAGGCTGATGATCCAATATACTTCTAGTTCTTTCAGTAGGTGTTTGTGTCATGTTGGGCATTGTTTCATATCACTGATCCTCATTTTTCTCACTTCCTATCCTTTGCTTTGAACAAACCAAGTTATGGTTGAGACCATATTATTTGACCAAAGAGTAAATAAAGGTACTTGTGAAATAAGAGATAGCAAAAGTTTGGTCATAATTATTTAATAAAATTAAGTGATTGAAAAAGGAGAATTTTTTGAAAGCTGAAAGGAAAGGATAATTTCAAAGGTAGGATTCAGTTATGAGAGTTACATGAGGGAACTTTGGAGGCAGAAGTGCCTTAAAATTCTAAATAAAGGTGGATCTTGAATGCTAAATAGAGTAGTCTGAATATATTTAATATCTTTAGGGTATGGAAGGCAATTTCAGATTGAATATAAAAGGTCATATTAAACCATGAGAAAGATCTGCAGTTAGGCTTTGGGCTGATGTAAAGTAGCAATAAAATATAATGTATCTAGAGCTATAGGGGGGTGATTTAGATCATGCAAAACTGTAAAGTTAAGGGAGAAGAACAGACTAGGATGAAATAGATAATTTCAGAGTCAAAGCTACAGATATTTCAAGAAATATTTGGGAGAGAAAGAAGATTAACTTTAATTTTGTTGTGGATAGTGAAAACCCATTTCAGTAGAGTTAAGGATGATACCAGATTGCAAAAGAAATGGAAGGAAGAGATGGTGAGAAAAATTAAGGCAGCTGGCAAACATCGTATCTTCTAAGGGTTTGGCAATGGAGAAAAATAGAGAAAAACTTTCTTAAATATTGGGATGAAATTTACTTAATTGCATTTTGGCAACTTCTTAAAGCTTTTTATCTTCTCATCTGTGGTTTTTCAGAAGTAAAGACAGCTTTTCACATTTCCTGTCTTCTCAGATTTGGCTTCCAAGCCATGTTGAGGATGGAGTTATCTTCAAATTTCAGGGGTGTGATGTTGCATATTGGACCACAGATGCTCCTCACTTCTGTCAAGCCTTTTCATTATTTTGATTTCTTTTTTCTTATAAAGGTTTGTATTTCACCCTTCTCCTTTTTTCCTCAGTTGTTAGAGGCCCCCACAGTGAGCTCTGAATTCTCTGGCAGATGATCCTCAGGGATGACTGTGAGAGAATTAGTAGGTTACAAGGATATTTCCCTCTTCCTTGCCTCACTTGAAAATTTTACATTCTTTGGCCTCTCTGACTTATGACAATGGAACCTGAAAGAGACTCAAATCCAACCTGATGTGATCTGCAGGGAAAAATGATCCATTGAGGAAAGCTGAATTATGGACAATATATATCTTCTAAGGTGAGAAAGAGCATCACTAGCATAAAGGCAACTGGAGCAGAATTTTTTTCAACAAGTAATCAAATTTTAAGAACAGAAGGTAAAAGAAAAGGGCTGCCGTATGAGCTAGGGATTTTTCAAAGTCCAATGTCTGTTTTTTGTATCCTTCTTTGTATAATCAGTGGTTGATTCCTTCTTTCTCAGATACAAGAAAGGCTTAATTTAAAAATTAACATCATATTTTAGATGTTGCAAACTGCATATAAATACATTTGTCCTTTAATATTTTAACAAAACATCCTATTTAATTAAAAATAATTGTTTTATTTTGAAATAAAACAATTTAAGTTAATTTCCACTGGATTATTTGGTTTTTATTTTTGTGCACTGTATTAGTTACCTACTATTGTCTTACAGATTACCTCAAAATTTAATGGCTTACAACATCAAACTTTGATTACCTCATAGTTGCTGTGGATCAGGAAACTGTGGGTGCTGTTTATCTAGGTGACTCTGGCTCAGGGTGCCTCACAAGGTTGCAATCAATTGTCAACCAGGGTTATAGTCCTCACGGCTCCAGTTAGTGAGTATCCAATTCCAAACTTCCTCACCTGTGTGTTGGCAGCATCAAGTTCTCAAGGACTGCTGGCTTTAGACTTTATTTCCTTGCCCTGTGGGCTTCTCCATAGGGGAGTTTACAACATGGCAGCAGGAGTGCCTTAGTAAGAGCACGCCCAAGAGACACTTTTGCCATATGCCAATTATTAAATACAAGACACTAGATTCAGTTCATGCTCAAGGTGACAGGATTACACAAGGGCATGAATAATAGGAGGCAGGATCATAGGGAGCCACGTTACAGGCTGCTTACCTCACATGTGATATCCTAGTAAAATCATCAGTTCATCTTAATTCACAAAACATAGACTGTACAGCACAGAAAAGGATGCACAAGTTTAATTTTATAAGGATAAATCATAGGAAAAGAATGAGGATTGTAGAAAATTTCTTTTCACCTCTTAGTTGTATTTGCAAAAATTTATGGGTAATATTGAAAAGACAGGGTTGACAAAATTGTAGCAGTCACTGCTTTTTAAATAGAAAAAAATCATTTTTGTTTGCTACAGATGTAACTAGATTAAAAATAAATTCTACTTCAGATATTTGTAAAACACAAAAATCCACATTGAAAATTTATAAAAAATATTTATGTTTTCAAAATATTAATTTTATAATGACTTTATATCCTATCTTTAGGCAAATAATGACATTGGCTTTTTCAAATCAGGAGACGGGAACTAAGATATTATTCAAGGATATGGAAAATCATGAGTGGAGCTATGAATATAACTTGTACATTTAGCTTTTCAATATACTCTTACATATATATATATATTTTTTTTTTCTAAACTGTAAGTAAATTGCAATCAAAGAAGACATTGAGTGGCATTGATCCTGTGAGAGGAAGTTGAACATCATAAAGGTCATCTCATAAAACCCTACCATTTTGTATAATGTCATGATATATACCTTTGGTTGGGGATTTTGTAAGAATGGAAGAAAGCTCAATTGGAAAGTTATGCACATGTCTGTGTAAGAGATGATGGTGATGCTGACTGAAGTTATAACTATGGGGATGGGATGAAAGCTGCATTTTAAAAATAGCATTCTCCTAATGAAAAAATTCAGTACTTTTTTTTTTTTAAGAGGCCAAACTTCTAAGTTGAACTTCCATAAACATTGTTGATAATTTGCACTATTTTTCTTATAATAAATGCCAGGAGCACTATTTTTCTTATAGTAAATGTAAGAAGCATTTACTCCACCTGAAATTTATTCTACCTACTTTTCATTCTTTAAAGATGGAATCCATTCTTCAAGTCCCTGCTCAAATGTTACCTCCAATAAGACTTTCCTGATGAGTCCAGCTGGTTTCATTCCTCTCACCTTTAA